AGCCTGGGCTGGCCCGGTCGGCGCGCCGTAAGTCCGTTGTGTTAATGTGCAGGCCTATAAAGCTGGTTCTCAGACGCCGCCCGCAGCGCGAATTAGCAGCGTGTAGGCCGCATTACCTGCATGCCGGAGCACAACAGAAAACGGCGTGAGGAACTTTCCCACATCGCAGGCTTCTACTGACCGGAACTGTTACAGGATAAGTGGTTTGTCTCGGTTCTCTTGTGTTCTGCAAAATTACTGCTGTTTCAGCAAAGTTGCGTTTTATGCATGACCTCGCCAAATCATCTGAGTGCAGCAGAGCCACTAGCAGTACCAGCAGCGCACAAAAACATAATCCACGTCGCACGCTTTACATGTCTCCCCTGGCGATGCTTCATCGTTGCGCCGCTATAAGAGCGACGATGACAAGCAGTGTTGTACGCTGTGTCTCTGAGCAGTGTTCTTTGCATGCCTCACACATGTCACCTTCCTCCCATCCAACAGTGTCGGCGTCCCATGAGTATTTTCATAGCGAACCAAAGGGGCGCCAACAAGAGAGCACACCGGCTGGGCCTTATCTCCCTCTCCTTCACACAAAGGCCGATCACGACGTGGCAGCGCCGGCGGCGGCGGGTCCAGATCGCGGACGGCCGAGCCGGCGCGGCGCGGCGGGACAATACGGCCGCACGGGGCGGCGGACGGCGCGGCGGCGTTCATCAGCGCTGCCGTAATTAGGGGCCGTCGATGGCCGGCTTTAATCCGGGCCGGCGAAGCCACGCAATCTGGCGACGGCGGGAGGCCACCGCCGACCGCCGGGGGCGCGGCGGGGGCGCCGCCGGCGCGGGCGGCGAGGCGCGCTGGCGGCCGCCGACGCCTCCTCCCGCGGGCGCCGACACCGGCACCACCATCGCCATCACCACGGCATCGCACCCACCGCCGCCACCGCCACCGACACAAGCGCGACAAACACAAGAGGCACCGTCAGGCTACCGGCGCCGCGGCTGCCGCCACTGGTAGCGCCGCCACCGCGATAAATGCGGGCGCCAGAGGTGTAACCTGCAGCGCTATCGCAGATCACGAGTCCGAAGTCGTCCTGGGAGGAAGAGCTCTGCCGCCAGATGCTGCGGAGATAAAGACGCGATGGTATCATCTGTTGCCTACAGAACAGCGTGGCTGTTTGAAGTCTTTGTGCTGCCAAAACAGGTCCTGTTCGTACCGTTCTCGCTGCTGAAATTTGCATCTAATTTCGAATGGTCCAATCGCGCCTCGCGCAGGAGAAGCCAACACCAGAGCCGGCCGTGCCGGGACGCACCCTCCTGCCTGCGCGTCGACCGAAGACGCGGCAGGCGGGGCGATGAGGGCGTCACGTTGCCACTCAACAATGCCCTCTGATTGGAGGTGTGGGAGTACCGGACCCTCCCCTGTTAGATCAGGACTGGCACAAAAAGCGCCCATAAAAACAGGACTCGGGCCTCGCCGTGTGTCAGGCTGGAGAGGTGCGATTTCAGCAGGCCAGTCGCTCACACCTTTTAGATAAATGAGCTGATTGCGTGATCTTTTGTTGATGCGGGTGTGGTTGTCGCGCTAAGTGAATTGTGGGCTTTACTCATCAGTGGAGTGGGTATGCCTACCATGGTGTCTTTGTTGGGGGCCAAGCTTTAGCACTTCGGCATGAAGCCTAACAGGCGTGGCGAAATGCAGATTAAAAGGCTTGCACTATTAACTATGGTAAACGCCGATGATGACTGTGCCCCAAATGAGCGACTTCCATTTATGGTTGCTAACACGAGGGTGTAACCGATGTTGACATTCGCTTGCAAACGAGCACGGGCGCCGCCCTGGATACGATCAGGGCGCTGTGCGTGGGCCTCCTCTCCCACTCCTGGCCCGAACCTGACGGGCCCGGCGCCGCCGACCGGCCGACCGGTCCCTCGGCCGCTCCTCTGTTCCGATCGACGTCGCGGAGGCGCTCGATTCATCTCGGCCCGCTCCAAGGCCTCGCCTGTCTCGCGGCGCAATGACAGTGCGCCACCTAGACGCCGGACAAACGGAGACTCCCTCCACGTAATCTGGCCGTCGGAGCGGCCGGCCGGCACCGGGACGCGGCGTTTTCGTAACCTACGACGGGGATCGGGCGACGGCCCGAGCCACGCTGTGCGCGCAGAATGCGGCGGCCAGATGGTCCATGCGCGGCCACGACAGACCCTCTGACGAAACGGCAGAAGAGGTGCGGCAACTCGGAGAGGTCGGCAGCTCAATCACGCGGCCGAATGGATGGCAGAGGCGGCCGGTGGCGGCCGGGGCGGGTCGCCGGGCGGACGGCCACCCTGACCTGACCTGACAGCTGGCGGGCGGCCCGACAGCGAAAGTCCGCCGCTGACCGGGCCGGAACGGCGCATTCCTAGCGCGCTGCTGGGGTCGGGAGGCGAAGCACGCACGGTTTCACTGACGCCCTGACGGGGTGGAGTCGCGGGGAGACAATGCGTGCGTGTCTCGTCTCGGCTGTCCGGCCGCGCCCTGCCGCGCGGGGCGCCTCCGCGGCGGCCGCACGCACGCGCCGCGTTTGGGCGGAGGCACCTCTGGACGGGAGATCTCGCCGCTCGCCGTGCGTGACAGGTCGTTCAACAAACACAAAGCGGCTGTCGGAGGGAAGCCGGCGCCGGCCAGCCAGCCCGGCGGCGCTTTTGTTTGTCCCACCAAAGACGCTCCAATGAGACGCCAGACCTGCATATTGCCACCGCCAAACCTCGGCCTCCGTTTTCGTCCTCGGCGGCGCGTTTTCTACGACGTCTTTTTGAGCGTTTTGGCGTTATTAATTGGTTTGTTTGGAGATGGCTACGCCTACGATCTCCACTCCAATTTCCGTCATGTTTGTCGGAGAAAGCGAATTAGTCGGGACAATATCCGGACGCGCCTAATCAAGGATGTGATCCCGTCTCATAATAAAACTGGCCTCGGCCCGCGGGACGGGCCACTCGAGGAGGCAGAGTGCCGGCCGAGCAGACCGGGCACGGGAGGGCGCGCCGAGACGGAGGCGCCGTCCGCCGACCGCCGATCCATTTCTCTCCTCTCGCACACCGGCCTCCGCGCGCTCGTTAATCGCCGTATCTGCCAAATCGCAGTATTTGCATGATAATAAGACGTGCATCACAAGCTTGTCAGCCGCTTTCGCATGCCAGCTTGGCCTCCATACGCAGCGGAACGCCAGGGAAAGCAAAACCTCCTGCGGCACCCGGTCTCCCCAGTCGTCTTTGCACAGCGGATCTGCAGGAATGCCAACACGCGACTTCGCAAGTGGCGAATAATTGACGCGTGGCCACAGGTGATGTGTTTACGGGCGCTTGGTTAAGCTACCATTGGATTAAGAAAGCATTCGGAGCGTCCGGGGCGCTGAGGCCGACACAGCGGCCGGCATCAGTCTCAGCAGGTATTTCTGGCAGGCGGCGGCCGGCCGTTGGCAATGCGAGGGCGGGGCGCTAGTGTCGGCAACGCCCAACAGATGGGGTTAGTATGCACGCGCAGGGCGTCGCACTTGCGTGCAAACTGTGCATTGTTATTTGAGGTGTGACTTCCAATCGCAAGGTGGAGCACCTGATGCAAATTTAATAACGCGAGATACTGATGGAAGACCTTCGACGCTAAGTACTGCTGGGCGGGCGCCACTGGGCTAGAGGGTGGCGGGGCGCGCGCCAGAAAACTGCGCCATCACCCGAAGGCGGTCAGAGGCTGAGGGGCAGGCCGTTTAGGCCAACCTACCTAAGACACGATAAATTGCCGCATCACTGCTCTGGGCTGTGCGAGCCAAGGCCTGATGCTGACGCAAGCCTTATTAGGTGAGACGTGTGCAGCGCAGCGAACCACATCGACAAATGTTGATAAAATAGCGTGATCGGCTCACTGCTCTTGCGACTCGTCGAGTGCAATCGTGCAGCCCATGGGAATAAACAATCTCCATTGCAAAAGCCCGTCGCTCTGTCTTCATGCTAGTGTTGATTTCCTTTCAAGATCGTTTAGAAGCAAAGCATTGAATGTTTCATTGATCCGAATGCTTCTTCTTCTTCCATATCATGCAATTTTGTTTTGTCAAAGCAATGAAAGCTTTATTCAGATCTCAAGGAGCACAAGTTGGAGAAGGCGCAGCTGGTAAATTCATGAGTTTTTCGTTCACTGCCACGACGAACTTCGAAGAACAAACGGGTCCAGGTTTCATCCGAGTTCGTCCACTCCGTCTGCATAGCGTTGCTAAACATCTTTCTTTCCTCACATTTCGACTGTAAGCTTGTTTCTTTATTTATTCTACTCTTCGCATATTTATCACACCCGGCTTATTCTTTGCGAGCCGTGCCGACATCCCCGTCCATGTTAGCCGGATTATCGCTCATCTAGCCATCGTGGGGCCACGCTCGTCGTTGTCTGTCTCTCCAGCGTTATTGAGCAGTCCAGTGCACACTTCACACACTCGAAGCGTTGCCGAACTTCCAAGCGTATCATTGGCTGATTGAGACGCTCGAGGCGGCGGGGTCAGCAGGTCGGCGCGGCGGTTCCGCCGCTGCCAAACTGGGCGCGATTGGCCCCCATCCCGGGTCACGGCGGCAGGGATGCTGTGGGTGGGGTAGGGGAGGGTTGGAGTTGTGTCACGTATCACAAAATGTGCGGCGGGAGCTGACGCTGGCGGTTAGGAAGTGGGATATTCAACAAGTAGTCGAGATCCGAGAATGCGCCGTGGGGGTCATTAGTGTGAGATGAATGGTTTACAGATGACAGACGTCGCCAATTTCCGTTGGGAACTCAGCTGACGTCATTGCAACATGAAAATAACAGGGTGCATTAATCTTCACAACGCGGGAGGGGCAATTACGGTCTGTGAGCACTCTCCTTGCAATTGCCGGTGATTGTCCATGATGCGAACGGCATAAAGGACAGCCGGATGAACGATACTGCAGGCTCCCTGGCTACACGAATAGCCTCATCAGCGAGTTTTATCACGACATCCCGCCTTCTCATGAGAATCTGAACCGTACCTTGGGCGAGGGTCGCGGCTGCAAGCAGCAGGATGCTCCACCGGAGTCGCCGCTCCATCGTATCACTCCTCGGAGTCCCTCAGAATCTCTCCTCAGAGACACGGACGGCGCGCAGTCAGCGCCCTTTAGCTGCCGCTTCCGGCGCGGGTCGGTCTGAGGTCAGCTCTCGGGGCTCGGGCCGGGGCCGGTCGGGTTTCAGGAGCTCTCTGCAGGCCGCCACCGGGCTCCGTCCGTCATCAGCGCGGGGTCACTGGGCCGCCGGGCCAGGTCACATGCTCGCACGCGCCGTCGCACCTCACTCGCTCCTCGCGCCGCCGCTGCCGCACTCGGAATGGCCTGCTGCCGCCAGCCGTGCCGCCGCCGACCGGCAGCGCCCCTGCCGGCCGACGCCGGAACTGCGCCCGCGCTCGCTTGAGCTCGGTGGGAACGCCGGATGGCGGGGCGGGTCGGCCGCGCCGCGTTCTCGGTCTGGCAATGTTGTTTGCGTGGCGGCGCTCGCCCGGGATTCGACACCGTTCTCGGGGGCTTAGCCGCTCCCCGAGGAAAGCGGAGCCGACGGAGCGGCCGCGCACCGGCTAGCCTCTGGCCACAACAAACAGCTCAGTCCTGTCGCCCCGCATTAGTTGACACGGCCGACGGGCGGCCGCCGGCTGTCGGCGCCCCGGGCCGACACCCCACGCCCGGCGCCGGCCGATCTTGGCCCAGTGGCCAACTGAACGCAGCCCCGGGCACTGCCCGGCACTAGGCCCGCCAGCTGGGTCACTGCCGCCGCCGGCTGAGACGCGGCGCATTTCGGCACGGAGGAGACGCAGCGCGCTAGCCGTGACATGCCGAACCGTGGCTGGCAGGAGCGCGAGGGAGAGGCGATCACAGTCGCTGGTGAGAGCGCAAACCACTGCGCTTGGATAGGCTGCGGCTCGGACCCGCGGCACGTGGCAGCCCCTGGCCCGAGTCGAGCTGCTGTGCCGGAGGGCACGCCAGCGCTGCGGTTCAGGCTCTGGGCGGCGCAGCGCTGGTGTTAGCCTCGCGCCACTGATTGATATCGCCTCCTGTTTACAGCGGCGCCGTGGGCGGGCGGCCGGCCGCCTGGGCCGCCAACTTTTTGCCGTGGGCCGCGCCGTCCGCCGGCGATTTTTAATATTCTCAATTAGCCTAGGCTACACAAAACGCTTTTTGCCGGCAGGCGGCCGCGCGAGACACGCCCCGCGCCAAAAAGGCCCGGCGCGGAAAAACCCGGTCGAATTAGATCCTGATTGGCGAGCGGCGTTGGTCCGGCGCGGCCGAAAATCAGCGGCCGCCTCCTCGAACGGCCGCAGCCGTCCGCCCGTCCGTCCATCCACTATTTGGGTTGGACGCAACGGTGGCCGCGGTTCGGTGAAGGGCGCGCCTGCGCCGGCGGTGCGGGTGATCTCAGAGCGGAAGCGGCCATCGCCTCCGCGGACCGGCCCGGCCCCGCCACCAGGCCCATGGGAAGCACTCGCTCTGTGTAGTGAGTTGCCATTACGGCCGGCGCAGGGGCCACAGGTGGTCGTTAGGCGGTGACCTCTGCCATACGGTGCCGACCCGCCCGCCGGCGTCCGCACCGCCGTTGCCCAGTTGCATAATGATCCCGGCCGGTTCCGGTGGTGGTCATTAGGTGGCCTCCGGGCGCCACCCTGCGTGCGAGGTCACGAGGGGCGCTGCGACAGCGGGCCGCAGGAACAGGACGTCTTATCTCGTGCTTCCCGTGCTCCTTCAGGAGCGCACAGATCTCACAAGAACTGCTAAGATGGGAAGTGATGAGGCTTATCTTCGCCAAGATGAAATGAAGTGCTCATGATAATTTCTTTCGTACTTGAGGGGAACCTTTGTTCCTGTATTCCCGTCCCTATGCCATTGATTCCCTCATTTATCAAGTTTACAAAAGCCCTTCCGCTAGTCGGAACAAAAGCTGGGAACAGTTATGTTGATAGTTTATTACATAATTTACTCTGGGTGTTTGTAATATCAATAGATAGGCATGTTCCGGTTTCCAATGGTCTCACCATGAAAACGGAATCCTGGATTATGCATCCCTCTAGTTCGTTGTCACAGACCGGTGCCCATTTCCAAGTGCCTGTTGGTTCTTTGCGAGCACTTGACCATGGTTCCTGGTTCCCATTGGTTCTCTGTCCATCCATGGGAGCTTCACGATGGGTCAAAGGCTAGCAGCTACTTTATTTTGGTACGACGCTCATTGCTGGGTAAGCCTAGGACCATCGTGACGCCCGGCCAGCTTTTTCACGCACACAGACATCCTGACTACTTAAATAAATCGCTAGAATGTGAGCTAGCCCCGTAAATGCTCAATATCTCATTTGTAACAGCCCCCACAAAAGATTCGGGTGGTGCGGTCCCTGACGATAAGACGTGGTGTCTACCGACTTCTAGAAATAGCTGACTTGTCAGCGACTGCTCCTGGGTCGGAAAGCGGTTATTTTTCCTTCACAAACACATCGCACTGGCTTGTTCAGAGCAGCGAAAGTTTAAAAGACGTAAATGTCTGTTCATGGCCTACAGAGGAATCCCTTGATGCTGGAACCAGTGAATCGAACACTTACTGTCTTGCAGAGCCGCTGGCATCGATGATGGGGCCGTGGGACAGCATGTTCAACTGTGCATGCTTGAGGCTGAGATAGGAAAGAAGGTGACAAAGCAAGCATTACGTATGAGGATATTGAAAGCCGTTTTAGTTCTTGACACAAAATTGCACGGAATGGAAAAGTAGGGAAGATATTTGTACTTTCTGATCATACGTAGGTGCAGCTAGGCATGAAGGCCTGACTGGTTGTGACCTGAAATATTATGTACAATAGATATTAGAGAAATCAAAATTGTAAGTCATACATATGCGATGAGTCCAACGTACGGCCTCAGCAAGTCATGCATGCTGGCCTTCAATCCTGAAACGGCCACCAGCCGTTCGAAACGGTCAAATTGCGGTGTGGCAAGCCCCGAAGTGATGTCCTATTTCGGCTTGTGATCGTTTTGAAACAGCCACACTGCGATCTGGAAATTTTCGAAATGCCAAAAGGCCATGCAGATCTCTTCTCGTTTTGGTCTCTCGCTCTCAGACAAGCGCAGCGAGATGTGGCAAGTCGTGTTTTGCCACATCACGATGTGGCCGTTTGTAAACGTTGTGTCATTGGGGCTTCGCAACGCTCTCAGCCTCTGATGTTGTCCGTCGCGCCTGGCCCTCACCCTGGCAAGAAGGGCGGGTACCGAAGGGAATCGAACCCCGTTCTTCTAGTTTCCCAGAGGAGCAGCTTAATCGTTGCCCTTTCAGTACCCTGGTCGTTTCTAAACAACCCATTTCCAGGCGTAGTCGACGCATGTGCACAGTACGGTAGTGTTTAGCGCTCGCAACTGGTCTTCCCGTGAGCTATGCCGTACATTGCCTCGTAAGGCCGTAGGATTTGTGATGGTTAAGTCACGTTTGGGAATACAGTGTGTGAGTCATGTCATAAAAGGGCCTTGTATGGATCTAGGAGTCAGAATGGTTAAATCTGGTATTGGAGTCCAATGCGTAAGCCAAGCCGTAAAATGATGTCAAATTATTCAGAACTGCTTCCTTGGAAAGTATTTATGGTCCTTTGTCCCCGTAGCACCTCTCACATTCAAATCTAGCATGCGAGGCGATTATTGTGAAGTAAGAGCAACTGGACAGGACTGTGTTTGCATTGAAATCTAGTGTCGTCGGAGCTTAAAACTTTTATTAAGGTGCAACATTGATGTCGGCGTTAGTCCGATTACTGTTGGCGAAGTGAAAGTGTTCACCCTCAAATTCAAACCTCGTTGTCGTCATGTTCTTTGTTTTAGGCCGAGTGAATAGTAACATAGTCGTGCAAGCAGCCGCACCTGGACGGAAAACCCCCTTGAAGTATCGGATCGTGAACACGGTGTGTGAATGAAGTAAGTGCGATGTGGCGAAAAACAATTTGGCACGCGTCAATGCGATCGAATTTGAGGCCGCTATACCCCGACAACAGGTCTACATTGCCGTGTGGCATTCCGTAAATTGCCAGGGCGCAGCGTGGCCGTTTCGAAGCGGTCACAGGGCGAAACATGACATCATAACAGAGTTTTATCATTAGAAGTTTGCTTCATCTCGATGGTACCGTTTTAAATGGCTTGGGCTGCTTTCGGGATTGGAGCCTAGCAAGCACATGAAAATCCTGATACACACTTTTCAGTAAGATGCTTTACTCATAAGCGTCTCCCGTACTTATCTGGACTTTGGCCATGTGGTAAAGTATGCATAACGGACATCTTCGGCATGATATATTTATGGGCAAGATCACAGGCCCGTCAAGCCCGACTTAACATAAGCAAAAATCTTTAACTTTGGCAGCCATACCCGGTCCGCCCCGGTGCAGCTCACCCATCAGTCTTTCTAGAAAATAATATATTTGCGACAACTGACTAGTTAGGCGCAGTTTTCAACACAGATCAATGCCATTGTCGAGAAGAAATGCCGTATGTGTGATTGTTTTCTTACACGCATGCGATTGAGTGCAACTTTTCACAGCATTACTATTGAAGCAAAGTGCACAGAGGCCTTTCATTTCATTTACACTGCAGACATGTTCCGTTTAAATTGCAAAACTTCAGAACACAGGCTTAAGCCGCATTCACACCTCGGCGACCCTGCTTCGCAGCGACGCGAGATCAGCTAATTCAGAAGAGGCAGGGTACGGACAGCTGTCCCGGCAAAAGCGTGGGTCGATAGGTGTTGACCAGTCAAGCTTAACAATGCGCAAAACACATATCTGGGCCTGTGCCTGCATCCCAAGGGAATCCATGATCCCTTAACACTCCATGTTGATAAGACTTTGGGATCTATTTGCGGACTCCAGACACAGATCTGATTTGTCCTGTTTGGTATGTCTTAAGGTTTGATGCCAGATCCCAAAAGTCAGGGCATATGGACATTGAATCAAGCTGTACATTGCAGGGGAGCGTGCCGCCTCCCAATGACGGGTCTACTATGACACGGAAACGACCAACTTCACCTGCATTTAAATAGTTCTTGTCCACGGCACGCCGTAATGCAAGCCAAGACAAATTGCCTTACGGAACCTGCTAATTCAAAAAGGCCAATTTGCTCTGAAAGTATCCACAAGCATGTCTGCGTTGCTTGCGATACTTTGCCTCTGCGACACAGCCTCAAAAAGTGTAAGCGTTTCCAGATGCGTTGATGTCGACGACGAACATTTCTATGCTTTGTTAGACCCAAAGCTAGGAAATTAAAAGCCCTGTTTGCTCAAGTTGTACTCAAGCGCGATGGCTAAGGTGCCACCTCTGCCTGCAAAGGCTACGAAAGAAAGATATTCTAATCGAGCGATAGCGTACACTTGCTTGGACTTGCAAAAGTGACCTGCTTCACTAACTTCGATTTTTACTTCACCCACATGATGATAACATCTGCGTATTTCTTTCGTTCCATGCCGCGAAAGACATCCTACTAATGTATGTCCTTAGCGTTGCACATATTCCATTCCAAAGGATGGCCATCACCAAAAATAATATTAAATGAATGGGAGGCATGTGATGCACGCTTTTACAGAGTTATCGCCATGAGTAGTAAATGGATTGCATACTCTCCGGAATCCTTGCGTGAATTCACCGTCACGTGGGTCATATTTCAGCTCAGTGCCAATGTTAGGCTGCATTCACAAGTCCAGTTTTCTTAGGGTGCGCATGGGTGGAGATGGGAGGCAATTTGCCCCCTCATGTTTTAACAGAATCATTTCCAAACAGCGCGGCGTGTAAAATTTTGTATAGCTGTAGTTAATTACATCACGCTTCTTTTGGCAAGAAATAGCACAGTTTAGCGTAGTTTTGGCCGTGACACTGCAGTGCAGGTGAGAGCCCCCAATTAGAAATCAGGGCCACCTCTAGCTACTTACAATCGTTGTAAGCGTTGTAATCCATCGCTTTAACGCCGGGAATAAAGTGGAGCAGGTACAATATTTCAGTTGTTCAAGCATTGCTTGGGCTAAGCAAAACGGGTTTTAACATCTAAATTAGCTGCTATTTGTAAGAAATTATGTCCAGGGAAAGTTCACCAAAGGTTAAACATATGCACCAGGGTGTACGAGCGGATCAGAAAGTAAATGTGCTAGAACCTCTTTTGAAGTCATTTATATTCAAGCATTAACTAAAGTTAAAGGGAATGTTCCACATCTGAAGATATTTAAGCAAAATCTGGTATGATGAAATAAATTCACTTATAGCTATTTTAACATTTTTAAGTGGAAAAGACTGCTGCAGAAAAAAAATCTGGTTTAAGTAAATATGCTGCTTCATAGTCACTGTTCGATTTCGTCATGGCACCTTGCAAACCATTGGTTGAGAGCCGGTTAACGAGCGTCATCGGAAAATCGTGCTCACGAACGATGGATATGACCGGTTCGACAGTTATACTGTTTGTTGGTCTCGATCGCCACATGGCTAATAGAACGACAGGATTCGAATGATGTTATGGTGTCATGGATGCCTGGGTGACCTTGAAATAGTATCCCTCAATTAGTCTGTACATCTTCGCGGTCATGCAACTCGGAAACCACACGGGCTTGGGTGTAAAGGGCATGGCTTTGAACTGCACCGAGTGATCTTCAAGATGTTTATTTCGGTTGAGAACCCTGTACGAATGCAACACACTCCCTTTAACACCCATCTTCAACGAGAGTAGGTGCGCGATGGCCTATTCCTTCCTGCCCTGTTTCGGCGTCTATGCACGCCGTAGGCAGTTGATCCGCATGACTGGTATAAATAAGTTGTTCAATCTATACCCATTGCGTTATGCATCTATAAGCTAAATAAGTTTCGGAAGTAAACCCATCACCGGGCGTTACCACACAGGTGAAATTGATCTGGTGCGTAGTTCGTGAATTTCATAAGTTCTTGTCGCCTTGAAGGCAAGCAAGGCAGCATTAGATATGTCTATGGGAAAATGATGTTCTTTGATTACGCTAAGGAACATTTCATTCACCGCTGGTCTATTTGTATTGACACATATTACCGAAACAATACCTTCAGAACAGAACGAATACGTGCACACAAAAGTCAGGGTAAGAATAAGTACTTCTGTGGCATAATGATACCTTACACAAAAAAGTGTCATGCTGCTTTGTGCACAAAAGCTGGACCTTCGTCACCGAGGGTACGAGAGGAGTAACTAACTACGAAATCACAGAATTCGTCGTTATCATGGAGCTCTTGCAAAAGGAGCCCATGCAAAAGGAGCCTATGCAAATGCAATGCAAAAGAAGCCCATGAGTACGTCAAAATCTTCAGTATTCTGGAATGCTATGTACACAGAATGTTGCCCTCAGCTTAACGATGCTACTGCAGCAACAGCGCTGGCCGTTTACATGGCGTCACGCTCGTCAGCTACGCAGCTGTCAGAAGTGAGGCTCGCAACACGATGTGTCGCAAATCCTGCGTAACGCCTCATGCTACAGCCATGTTCACCAGCTGGAAAGCGCCGGTGATATCGAGACAAGTCATGTAGAAAGCTGTCAGCTTAACTGGGTTGCTCTTGGCAGTGTCAACATCAGCGGCCCGGGACGACTCCCTGGATACCAATGCCGTTCTCGTCTGTTACCAAACTGTGCACCTCGCTGAAGGTCTGAAAACCGACAATAAGCTGGCACATGCAGTAACGCGACGGTCGTATCTGAAGGAAACTGGTCGAATCTTGTGTAGCGTTTAAACAAAAGTTTAAGTTCCTCAGAGCTGAATCAGTGCGCACCGGTGCTTATACGCTGCAGCTCTTGGGTGCGAAACGTGGATATATAATTTTTCCCGGCAGCCGTCATGCACCAGGTAAGGAAGAAAGCAAGTGCGACCATTTTATGAATGGAGGTTAAAATGCGAGATGCTCGAACGGCGGATGAACTGGCGTTTTCAGTGTGCGGGCCATTTGACCAGGCCAGCTTAGCAGCAGGCAAAATTAGCGGACTTGGCAAAGCTCTGGACTGCGGTTGTTATTGGAACTTACTCAAAAGTTCAAAGCCGATAGGTGTCGGGGGCGTTTATTTTCATTCCAGGGGCTTAGTGGCTCAAGATCAACAGAGCCACTGAGCGTGGCCGCCAGCTCGAAAGTTTCTACCAGTACAAATTGCTGACATATCGGCCAAGTTCGGTCGCTGCAGTCGGAACAACTCCCCGCCGTCGCCAAACGTCTGCCAACTTTTCCCACCGTTTCCGCGAGCGTCTCCAAGGTCTAATCAGCCCTCATAATGCCCGGTCCCACAGCAAATTATTTCCGCTGATTAGCTGTCGGGCTCCCCTCGCTGGGGCGCTTTCCGCTCCCCGGGGTGGGGTCTGACCCTGACGCCGCGCTGGCGTCGCGCGCTGCCCGCAGCCTCTCGACGCTAGTTCCCCGGCCGTGGCCTAGATGGCTCTGCCAGTTTCCCGCCGCGCGCGCACGACGGCCGCCGGCGGCCCGCGCGCCGCGCTCGCATAACGTGGGTGCCGGCGGCGGCCGACGAGATCCCCTGCAACGATGTCCGCGTGGACCCGGTGGGCGGCCGGCCTGGCCTGGCTGGCGCTCCTCTCGGCGCAAGGTAAGTCGGCCGCGTCCTGACCTCGTCCGGTCACGTTCGAGCCCCTCATGTAACGGCAACGGTGTGAACAGGGTGATCAGGTTTGCTCTCGTCGCTGTCTACGGTTCCCCGACGCGTTAGCCCGCGTCTGGTCGCTCAGCGTGCCCCGTGGCCGCCAAAGCTCGTGGCGCCGGCATCATCACTCGACTGATGGTCCCAAGTATGCGTGACTCGTGACTCGCGTGACTCGCCCCGGGGGCAGTCATCACGCCTCACGCGGAGCCCCTCCCCTCCCCCGCCCGCGACGTCCACCTGACCGCCAATTGGAGGGTTTCGAAGGCTTGGACCGCAGGGTCACGCAGGGTCACGGTCGACGGCGTCAGAATCGGACACGCTCATCCTCCGAGGCATCCTCCGAGGTATCTATCCTCCATCTGCTTGCCTGGTCTGGATTCATCCCAAATCGTCTCCCGACGTGGATTTCCGTCTGCTTCGGTTCAGTCGCTGCGTGGTTTTATGGCCTGTTTATTTTGATTCCGCCCGGCCGGATGCCCCTAGCCATTTCTGTCGGCAGGGCGGCGCACTCTACCGGCCTGGGCCCAGCTCCCCATAAAGATCCCCGTCCAGATCTATTAGCCCGCGTGTGCCGGCCGCTCCGAGAGGCCGCAATTAAATGGAGCCGTCGGCAGCCCCGCCGGCGGAGCGGAGCCCACGACACCGTCCGGGCGTGCTCTCCCGCCACCGCCGCCAGCCGGACGGCCTGGGCACGCGCCATTGGAGCGGGGTGGGTCCTCGGATCCTCCGATCCGGACGGCCTGGGCACGCGCCATTGGAGCGGGGTGGGTCCCGATCGGACCCTCCGATCCGAACGGCCTGGCCACGCGCCATTGGAGCGGGGTGGGTCCCGATCGGACCCTCCGATCCGAACGGCCTGGCCACGCGCCATTGGAGCAGGGGGGGTCCCGCTCGGACCCCCGATCCGGACCGCAGACATAAGCTGGATGGAGCTGTACTGAACCATGGATTAACTGATATTTGGGTTTAGGGGTGCTTCGACGGTCTTGGTCATTTTGCCCACTGGAGCATGGTTAGCTTGGAATATATTACATTATAATTGCCGTGATGCTTAGCACTGGACAGTGTAAAGGTGGCGAGATGTAAATGTTACTCAATTATGTTTAGAATTCCGTTCAAAAATGCTTCTGATATTCACCAGGCATACTTAGAGGCGTTCGCGACTACCCCCTCCCCCCCCGCCCCCCCCCCTACCCCGAAAGGTGAGGCGGGAACTCGATACGACCACCTGGGTGTTTCAAGATTTCTCTATAGCACGAAGCAAATCCCCCTCGCCATTGCAGTGCTATCTTGGCACTCATTGTACGTATTTATGCACAACAAGCATCTTTCTACTTTTTCTAGTTACTACTTTCTACTAGTCTCTGAACAGAGGCATGTTTCAGGGGCGCTGCAAGGCGTATTTTGGGCCGCTGCCAGTGGCCAAGCGAAATTGACCATCTAAATAAACTGCGTGTTGTAAGAGCGGATTGACCAGCTAACTGTTGTTGTAACAAAATTGTCAGTTATATGTGATGGCACCGTTCATTTTCTACGTGCAGCCCAGGATCGCGCGTGTCGTCGCAGAGACTGTTGGCAGCCAACTAAACCGCCTATCACGGACAACACCGCTACATTTAGTACGGCACACTTTCATCATCAATGTTTGTTCAAGATACTGGACACATTAAGTCATGAGCTGGGAATTAAACAAGAGCACGCCTGTTCAAACTTCATGCTGCGGCGTTAAATGGTTTGGTGAATAATTTGATTTAAGACTGAAATAGTCCGATGTTGGGAAAAATGACATTTCACCTGGGCTAGTGGTGACAGTTACTGATCTAGCAACATAAAATTGTAAACAACCCGGAAACTCATCCATGACCAATATACTTTTGTTCGCATGGCTCTACCATTCTTGTTTTACGAGTTGCAGAGAGATCGCATCGAAACCCTCCCATTCGCCCGCGTTTTAAAAACGGCGAATCCGGGCGGGGTTGAAGCGCTGCTTGTTGTCTGACACGCCGCTGATGGACAAAGTTGAGCCATTATTTCCCTAACGTGTGCCGGACGCATGTTTTCAAGTATGGCCGTCACTCTTCAGGGGTTATGGCGCCATAAAGAGCGGCCGTTGGCCAGAAGTATCCAGCTCATCACTCTTGTCTACAGGACATTATCCCCCAGTGTATGTACTCGCGTCAATAGGCGACGTACATCTCATCTGAATACCATCAGTATATGACCGTGCCCTTTATCGCCGTTTGTAATTGCATCAATTAAGCATGCATGTTTTACCACACCCGGTTTGCGTACAGCAGAGCGTGGAGCTCATGCGGGCCTAGGCCTTTGATCTCCATCGCAATAGAAGACATATTGCGGGCCTTAATGCTTCGGGTCATTTACGATCGCCATGCGTTATGATCGCAATGCTGGCGCCGAGTGGGCAGCACCACTGCAAACACACGCAGCTTACGTTTTTAATCATGACCACGCTCTGGGCCTCTTCCACCAGAGGCTCGCAGCGGCCTCTCCGAAATGGTCACCCGAGGGTGGTCATACGGGGCAAAGCGGCTGCCAAGCAACGTCACTTTCAGGGGTCTGGCAACGCGTGCGAGTATTTCTGAGGCGCTTTGTAGAAAAGCGATGACGTCAATGGTGGCAATGAGATTCAAAGAGTTTCCAACCCGCTGCCATCTGCAGTGCTGACGTCACCAGCACGTTTCCTCCGTCTTATTCATGGTCACATAATGCCATCCTGATCGTGCCGCAGACGGTACCATGCGGTAGTCAGCGTTAGCGGTTGGAAAAGTGAGTGAATGAATGGTTACCTTCAGAACATTTTCGGCGTATTTTTAATCAGAGATAGCACGAAACCCACACAATAGGCCTATGTCATGCGCAACGCTCCCCAGCGGAATGGAATGAGCAAGAGCGCGTCTATGTAGTGCACCATTTCACACCAACGCACTTGCCTTCTTCAAATCACTCATTCATGCCGCCGTCCCGGTCGCACTGGTAACACGGACCACGTTTCGTGATCATCCCCCGCCCGCCTGGCGGCGCCGCGGGCCGCGCGAGGTGCGGGTGTGCCGACACCGGAGCCGACCCCGCTGGGGCGCCAGCTTGTTCTGGCGCTGTTTACACCGGCGGCGCGGACGCGGCTCGTCGCTGGACTGTGTGCCGCCGCCGCCGAAATTGACTGGAAACGGCCAACGGTCGGGCCGGCCCGAAAATTGCTCCATTCGCCGACTGTCGGCCCGCCGACCGGCCGGCCGGCCGACGGGCGAAATATTGCCGACTCTGACGGACGGCGTCGGTCCGCTGGAATCGGCGCTGCGAGGCGGCGGCGGGTGCGGCACCTCGCCGCCGAGGTGAGGGGGCAGCGACAGCGGTCTGCCGGGTCAGGCTGCTGTCTGAGGGGTGCGGGTGTGTGACAATGCCCTCCCTGCTTTGGGTTGAGCTTTAATTAAGGGACGACTATGTGAGCTCTGAGGTCTCAGTTGCGTGCTATGTGAGGGCAGAGATATTGCGACAAGTTTGTCAAAGTTGCTTGCGATCTTCAATCACGACCATATTTAACGAGATGAGTTGGGGTCATGACCATCACTTATTAATGTCGCAAGCTTTCATTAGCGACTTCGGGAGTTTCCTCTTCGGACCTCGACTGCCGATGTGAATGGAGGTAATTTGAAGGCGAACAAAGTGAATTTGGCCGGGTTGCCAGCAACAGCCAGCAATCTAAACGCAGGTCAAGCTGCGCTCCCAACCGTCTATTTCGGCGTCCCATGACGCGGTTCCACGTCCGGGCCGGACGATCCCACTGGAAGCAAACCGAGCCACATCAAACCATTGCCAACCGCACCTGGCCAGCCGTTTAACGTGCGTGACCACGCGCGGTCGCTTTCAAACTCGGACAGAAGCCGGTTGGGACCAGGTGGTTGGGCGATTAAACGGGGACGGCGGCGGCGTCGAGTGCCCTGCTCGTCGCCGCTCGTGCCGCCAGCCCGTGCTGCGGCCGTGGCGGTAACGTTCCCGTCAGGCTCCAACGGGCACGCTAATGACTCCTTCAAACTGGGCGCGGCACGTGCCGCTCACCAGCGACGCCGGTGGGCGCGCCGTGGCGCCGACAGGGGGCCGCCCGGCCGGGCGCCGCTCCAGCGGGGGCGACTTCCCGCGCGCCGCGCCGGCCTCTGCGTTTTGCCGCTGTGGGGACGTTTTTTCGGGCCGGGCGAAGCAGGGGGCTCGTTATCCCCTGGACGGCGGTGGGGGCGGCGGTTTGAACACCTGAGCTGCCCCCACCTGTTTCCGGTCCTGTTCGCGCTCGTGACGGGGCGGGGGTGGATGGGGGGTGGGGGGGGGGGGGGGGGCGGCGGCCGGCGAAAACAATGGCAGCTGAGCCGCCCGTCTATGGGGCCGGCCATACTCCCTGACATACTGACACGAAGTGGTATTGACTGGTCTGGACAAAACACCCTGTCACCCTCGCGTTCCTCGTCTCGGTCACGGGCGCTTCTGAGCGGACCCGCGCAACGGCGTCCTGGCGCGTACCACGCACGCGGCCAACACTGCACACAGCTTAACCGCCGGAAGTGTGCTCACGTGATTTACATTTGCGTGACGTCGTCGTGCCGTTGGGGGCTAACGGTCCCGTTTCGTTGACATTTGCACATTTTTTGCATATTTTTCCGTGGTCCCACGAGTCATTCTGCGCACAGGGCACACACACTAGCGTCTGACATCGCACCGATCTTTGCCCTCGTGGGTCAACAAATATCGGGACTTTGTGATTATTTGCCCGTCAGAGGACTCAGCAAACACGAACAAATATGCTAGAAAATGCCAGCCTTCATCCAGATTAAATGTCATCCACTTACGGTATTGATCTATGGATTTCTACGTCGCTGTCTTGTTTGTTCGCCTCTTGAAGAGTCTCCAATCCCTTGACATAGGCATGAGTGGCAAAGCCC